ATAAAATAATGTCATCTGCAAATAGAGACACTTTTACTTCTATCTTTCTGATTCTGGTGACTTTTATTTCTTTTTATTGCCTAATTTTTCTGACTAAGACTTCTAGTACTGTACTGAATAGAAGTAGTAAGAGTGGGCACCCTTGTCTTATTCCTGATTATAGAGGAAAAGCTTTCAACCTTTCACTATTGATTATGATGTTAAGTATTGAGTATTGTCATACATGGCCTTTATTACGTTGAGGTTCATTCCTTCTATATCTAATTTATTGACAGCTTTTATCATCAATGAATGTTGAATTTTGCTTTTTCTGCATCAGTTGAGATGATCGTGTGATTGTTATCTTTCATTCTATTAATGTGGTATGTCACTTTTATTGATTTGCGTAAGTTGAAATATCTTTGCATCCTAGGGATGAATCCCACTTGATCATGCTATATGATCCTTTTAATGTGCTATTGAATTTGGTTCACTAGAATTTTGCTGAGAATTTTTGCATTTATATTCATCAGGGACATTGGCTTATAGTTTTAATTTTTTGTGGTATCTTTATCTGGCTTTGGTATCAGGGTAAATGCTACCTTGTAAATGAGTTTGACAGTGTTCCCTCCTCTTAAATTTTTTGGAAGAATTTGAGAAGGATTGGTGTTAACTCTTCAGGGAATGTTTGGTAAAAATTCAGCAACAAAACCATCTGTCCTGGACTTTGGGTGGAGGGGTAAGATTTTGATTATTGACTCACTATCCCTTATTTGTTTTTAGTCTCTTCAGATTTTCTGTTTCTTCATAATTCAATATTAGTAGGTTGTATGTTTCTAGGAATAATTTATCCATTTCTTCTAGGCTGTCAATCTGGGGGGCTCTGCTCAGGCACTATTACAAGCAGATTTGTAGGATGGGCTATACAACTTTCCAGGTGTTCTGGTTAGGCTTCCTGGTCAGATAAGGCTGGAAGCTATATTCATCCCTGATCAAGGCTTTGAATTTCCTTCCCAGCCCAAGTGTCTCTATGTCATAGGCTCCTTTGCTGATATGGATTGTTGGCTGGGTACCTACCTGAGTCAGGCAGGAGTAACCATCAATCTCCCTGGCCAGATAGTGCCACCAGCTCAGTTGTGCAGATAGGCAGAGCCAATGACTGGGCTTTTCACTCAGGCACTGCTGCAAGAGGGGCTGTAGGGTAATCTATACAATCTCTGGGATGCTTTCACTATGTTTCCTGGTCAGGCAAGACAGAGGGCTATCTGTACTCAGCAGTAGGCAGGAGCCATGAATTTGCTTCCTCATCTGGATGGGGTGGCAGAAGAGGCTCAAGGCCAGGAAGACTTATTGCCTGGGGACCCAAATCAGGCAGAATGGTTCCCTGGCCAGAGGGACCACCATATTGGCTCTGCAGATGGGCAAAGCCACCTTCTCAAATATCTACTCAGGCACTGCTGCTAGGAGAAACACAGTCTGCCAAGATCCAAGTGCCATTTGCTGTAAGCCATCCTCCCGTTCTCCATCTCATTCTGATCTCAAATGGTTAAGACCCACAGATTCCCCCCACCACACACACACACACACACACAATACCTATGGGACAAGACCCAGGTGAGCCTTCCAGGAAGCAACCCACAGCTCTGAAAGAGCTGGATATCTACCTTGGGCTCTCTTGCTCCCACCAGAGAAACCGTAGCTCTGGGAATCCCTCTCAGGGTAGCACTCTTCCAGCCTGGGAGAGAGGCAGTGCAGTCAGAGCATAGCTGATGGTCTTACCCTTCTCATGTGGTCCTTCTCGATCTCTGTGGTTCAGAAAGATGCGTCAGCCTCACCACCATATTCTGGGATTTTCACAATGGTGTCTTGTTGGTGGTTACTTGCAAGATGGTCTTTTTGTGAGGGGGACTAAAGTCAGGAACAAACTATGTCACCATCTTGATGACATCACTCTATCTTTATTTCAATATAAATGTAATTTTATAATAAAAAGTTAAATAAAACTAAAGTAAAATGCAAATTGGTTCATATCATTCCTGAACTTATAACCCCTCAATGATTCTATATAACCTAACAGATAAAAGCTAAGCTTCCTAAAATAACTTACAAATCCCTTAATAATCTGAGCCCAATGTGCCTCTCGTATGAACTTTCCTTTCCCAAATCCATACTTTATTCTTCTCCAGTGCTGAACTGACTGTGGTTCTCCATATGTTGCATATGTATATATTATATATGTTGTGCCTAGGAGTGGTTTTATTTTACATTTCTCAGCCTCTCTTCCATGTAGAAGATTCTTTCTATTTGTTCCCCTTTCCTTTAGTTAAAATCTGATATTTTAACTTGCCCAAGCACTACATTGGGAAAAGTACCTTTTTCCTGTGCAAACTCCAATATCCAAGACATCTTTTTGCAAATATATAGACCAGCTTAAATCCTTGAAATTCAGAGATTTAATATAAGTGTGGGTAGGGGCGCCTGGGTGGCTTAGTCGGTTAAGCGTCCGACTTTCACTTAGGTCATGATCTCGCGGTTCGTGGGTTCGAGCCCCGCGTCGGGCTCTGTGCTGACTGCCAGCTCAGAGCCTGGAGCCTGTTTCAGAGCCTGTGACTCCCTCTCTCTCTGACCCTCCCCTGCTCACGCTGTCTCTTTCTCTCTCTCCTAGAAATAAATAAAACATTTAAAAATATATATATAAGTGTGGGTAAAATTAAGATATTAATGAAACCTATCTAGAATTTTCCATCAACATATATCCTATGTATATGTTTTTTGGAGCTCATGACATTGATTACATGTCTCAATTGTCCCCTCTTTTCATAGCTAATGGAAAAGTTGATCTGAAAAAAGTGATGGATGGAGTGAAAGCTGTCAAAAGTGAGTAAGAAGTTAATGTAAACATAGGACCCTAATTTTTCTACAGCAACTATTTTCTTCATGCCTTAATTGCTATGTTAATTCTATCATTTTTACCTCCTATTTATTTGATGTTTTCATAACCAATAGCCCAGAAATGGGGGAATTTTCTGATGTAGTCTTCTCAAATACTCTTCATTTTCCTTGTTTTAAGACAGCCAAAATCTGTAATAAAAGCTGAAATAAATCTTTGGAAAAGACCCTGGTAATTAGTTAAAGAAGAGGTGATGCATTCTTCATGTCAATAGAATTATGAAGATAAGCCATTTGCAGTTTGCTAATTGACAAAAGAGATCTAGGATACCCATTTTTTGTCATTGTCATTTTGAGTATGTTAAGTCCAAGTCTCCCAAAAAGCAAAAGCCAGGGCAGGGTTAAATGTGCAAGGACATTATTAGGGGAAATGCCTGCATAAGAAAAAATAAGGAGGATGCCTGGAAAGGCTAGGAGGCTGTCAGACTACAGGGCAGATCTGGCACCAGATGAAGGAAAGAGGAAGAAAAGATTGGGTGGAAGCATCCTAGATTGTCATGCAGTCTAAGGAAGGCCTGGCAAAACTGCTTTCAAGAATCCTCTGGTTAAAGTCACCATCCTGTGTCTTCCAGGACAGGGCTCCCTTAGTATCTTTGCTGCACTGTCATTGGCCAGGGCCAATGGTACGTATGGTGTTAGTGCAAAAAACACAGATCAATTTCAAAGCAGGAGAATGGAGTCCTTGTTTAATTATGTTCTCCATAGTTGGAAGTCCTATGGGTACATTCTCATGACTACCATTGAGAGTGCCCTCTCTTACTAGCCTTTAGAAAGCCAATTATGTTTCCATGAATGACATTATCTCTGGACAGAGCTCAGTGATCATTACTTTTCCAACCTCATAATCATATTGTTTTGACATCATAATTTAAATTATTTGCAATAATTTGATTGTACTTAAATTCTATGTATGTCATTATTTTAATCTTTTTATTAAGGAGAAAATGTTGATCTCATTGGCATTGAAACTGTTCTGGGAAACATGGGGATAGAGCTCAAAGATAAAGAATGCTTGGAACTAGTAAAAAATCTTCCCTTTAGATACAGAAATGCTGATGCATAGGAGCACATGTACCCCAATGTTCATAGCAGCACTCTCAACAATAGCCAAAACATGGAAAGAGCCTAAGTGTCCATCAACAGATGAATGGATCAAGAAGATGTGGTTTATCTATACCATGGAATACTACATGGCAATGAGAAACAATGAAATCTGGCCATGTGTAGCAACATGGATGGACCTTGAGGGTGTTATGCTGAGCGAAATAAGTCAGGCAGAGAAGGACAAATATCATATGTTTGCACATATAGGAGGATTAGGAGGAACTTAACTGAGGATCAAGGGGGAGAAGAAGGGGGGAAATGGTGGGGGAAAGGGAGAGAGGCAAACCATGAGAGACTCTTGAATGCTGACAAAAACTGAGGACTGATGGATGTAGAGGGGAGGGGAGATGGGCATGGAGCAGGACACTTGTGGGGATGAGCACTGAGTGTTATGTGGAAACTAATTTGACAATAAACTATTTGTAAAAAAAAAAAAAATCTTCCCTTAGAGGTAAGCATTTTAAATATTGATGTAATCAAAGAGAGGTTTTCTTTTTTTCTAAAGTTTATTTATTCATATGAGAGAGAGAGAGTGTGAGAGCATGTGCAAGTTGGGAAGGAGCAGAGAGAAAATCCCAAGCCTACTCCACGCTGTCAGCATGGAGCTGGACGTGGAACTCAATCTCACAACCTGAGCCAAAACCAAGAGTTGGATGCTTAACCAACTGCGCCACCCAGGTGCCCCCAAAAAGAAGTTTTAGATTTCTGTGTCTGTGAGAAGCTCTAAAATTATCACCATTTCCTAAGTTCTAGGAAATAGAAAATCCATCTCAAAAAAAATATTTATTGTTTTTAGAATGTCCACTTATACCTGAAATGAAACCCTGTCTAAGTGGTTTTATTTTTAAATTGGGCAACATTTTCCTTATGATGGGTCTTATTATGAAGACCCATTTTTTTATGAAAAAAACAAAAACAAAAAACAGAGGATATGGTGGGATCTGTGAAAGAGGAAAGGATTAATAATTGAAAGTGAATAAAAGCAGGATTGGGAAGAAGAGAAGAGGTGTACATAATGTGCTAAATAAACTTCACCCAATTTTCTCTCAAATTTTATTATAATAGAAAACTCTTGAAAATCATTTCTCCTAAGAGTATTCTAGTGATTTTCCACATTCTTTGTGACTTACATTCTGCCTTTGTATAGATGATGACAAGATCTTTCAAAACAAGTTGCTAGAAGTTGTGAAGTCTCTAAAAGGTACGTGAGCAGCATAATCAGAGTACATACCAAATGGGGTCCTTGCATTGATACTGTTTCCAAGATGATAGTGGATTCTGCTATACTGATCATATATACTGATTGCAAATTTATGTTCCGACTGAAGATCAAGCTTTACTTTAGCTGCTGATCTTTTACTTTATATCTAAGAAGAAAGCCTTCTACTTTCTCAAGATTCTTCCAAACTTTTCAAGAAAACAAATATCAGATTTCAAGTTTGCATCGCAAAATGTAGCAAGAAAGATTAGCACTGATTCAGAGAATTTAATGAGCTGCAGATAAATAACTAAACTGGAAGTTCAGTCATCAAAACCGATGTGGGGATGAGCACTGGGTGTTATACGGAAACCAATTTGACAATAAACTATTTGCAAAAAAAAATAAAAAATAAAAAAAAATAAAATCCACTGTTAAAAAATTTTTTTAAGAAATAAAAATGTAAAATAAATAAATAAATAAAATCCACTGTTAAAAAAAAAAAGAAGTAAAAAATTTTTGCCTCCAGAACTAGAATTCATGTAGCATTTATTCAGTGATATTTAAAACTTCGTATTTTATAGTCTGGTCCCCAAGACAAGTCTCAGAAGAACTGACCTTAATTCTAATGTCCGACTTGACTTTCTCTATAGGCATAAAGCCCATAGTCTCTTGTTCTAAAATTGATGTGTTTCTCCCCCCACATTTTAGAACAAGCATTATTAATCTTACTGTTGGAGGGGGAAGTCTGTGAATAGGCTTTAGAGAATAGATGACCCCTCTGAAATTATATGTAATCTTTGTGAACACCAGCATATAGCTCATGAAATTCACAACAGGGTATGTGTCTCTAAAAAGTTTATGAATCTTTTTTTTGAAGTTACATAATTTTCTTCGTGGACTGTCTCTTTCCTTAGGCGGGAAAGTCAATATCAATGACTTGAACACAATACTGGATAATATGGGAATCAAGATCTCAGATAAGGAACTTAAGCCTCTGACTCAAAATCTCCCTGGTGATGGTGAGTAAGTTTCCAGATACCATAATCACATGCTGTGAGGGCTTAGGTATAAGAACCATAGACAATAAAGTTTCCAGGGGAAAGGGCCCTTAGGAATGGTAATTTATACTGATAGTACAAAGCTATAAATGTGGGCAAAGCATATAAACAGCATATAAGGAGCTAGCTGCCAAATCAACATGAAAACAGTGTACTTTGTATGTTGTCTTTTATATTATTTACCCATATTATGGTCACTAGAAGACAGTCTTCCACATTTTGAGTAGAAAACTGCAGGCCACTTAGATAATGGTACTTCTGAATTTCTTCCCATTACTAACACATATGAGTTTGAAGTATTATAGAACTATAAGTAAAATTTATATTTTTGAAATGGTATTTTTTATGTTTAGGCTTTTCTTTCTAACATTAATGAGGACAATAAAAACCAAATAAATTAATAGCCTTGAAAGATGTTCTTGAGTAAATAGTTCTTAAGTAAGCATATATAAAGTACTTAAGATAATACCTGGCACATAGTAAATGAGGATTTATTATATTTCCTCACATGTTGTATTTCACAATCTTTCATGAGTCTCTTTTTTTTTTTTTATTTCATTATGACTTAAATTTTCTTTACAGTTGATGGGAGGATTTCTGTAAAAACACTGATGAATGAACTGAAAGATTTTACAGTTAAATGAGAAGTGGATGTAAATCTAGGGTTTCAGTCCTTTAGAATAGTTTTTTTTTCAGTGGTGTTTCTAGTATTTTATAAATTCTGATGTTTTATTTTTAAATATATGAATCTTGGATTGGCATTAGGAAAATTTCTGCAGTAGGATATAAGACTACATGTCAATTTTAAATTCTAAGTTTTCTGTTGCTTGTGCAAGTAATATGCTTCACGTCACAAATGTTTAAATGAACAGAATCTAGAAATGTATAGAAAATGGCACGGTGAAGCTAAGAAATGATCAAGATAATGTATTCCTGATATCATCAATAATTCTCATCAACACAAGTGTTTTTGAAGAATAATTTATATAGGAATCTGCATTATCTTAATTCACTCATCAGATTTTATTCTGGAAGTTGTTTTTTCCAACTTTAGGAAAAATGTTCTTTAATTTATATTATATGTAGTATTTTATAAAACACGACAAGATACGCTCAACAGTTCTACAATTGGGAATATATTTGCCTAACACTTCATCTGAAATTGGGATATCATTAAACTGCATAGAACATATTTTACAACTTGAGATAATACCAGAGTTCCTAAAGTTTATATATCTTCTGTCCCCTCTCTTAAAAGATGAGAAGATTGATACTAACGGCCTGAAAATTTTCCTGGGAAGCAAGGGGATTGAGCTCACAGATCAGGAAAAAGAAGAGCTACTGAAAACATTGCCAATTGATGGTGAGTCATCATAGAGGCGGTAGGGAGGTCTTTTGTGGGGCTTTAGGTTTGTGTAAAATATCTCCAGCTTCGTTTTTATTTATTTTTCTCAAAGTATAAAAGAAAAAATATTAAATTGATTTCTATGTTATATGACAAACTGTCACTGTCGCTTGGAATTTATATTGGAAGTTAAGTAACCCTTCAGACAAGAGTTGACATTAACAGCAAAACATATTGTTACCTAGCAAACCACTAGTTTGTTCATATCATGAGAGGAGGAAAAGAAAAAGAGAGAGAAAGATTGGAGATCCTTGACAAAAAAATAAATAAAGATGAGAAGCAAAAATTTAAAAGCAAAGGGAAACTACACTCAGGTTTGAGCAAGGACACTTCCTCAAGTACTAGAATAGAAAGGTTTGTCACAGTGAGAGAAGTTTCTGTTTCCAAACTTCATTATATTAGATGAAATAAACTAAAAATTAGAGATACCTCTTCTTAAAATGTTATTTTTGAAATTATTGAATTCACACCATTTTTGTGATTTCATGTTAGTTTCCCCATTACATGAATTACTGCTTTTTTTACAGCTGCCGGAAAAGCATATCACAATAGGTTACTGAAGGGCATAAAGTCTCTCAGTGGTAAGAAGCCCAGTTGAAAGTCATACTGTCCCACATTCCCCAACTTAACATTTTTTTTCCAATTATGAATCCTGGCTCCTCACTTTAGTAGCATTTCTTATTTATGATTCCTTCAGTCTATTCACGTTTTAACAGATAACAGCATATATTTTATCTTGTAGGAAGTTACATATGCCCTTGCATTTTTTTTCAACTCTGTCCACCCCTTCTCCACATACAAAAAAAAAATCACTTCACCTTAAATAAACAGCAAACAAACAAACAAATAGAAAGTTGATATGCATGCAAATTTGGGGTGTAATACATTTTTTTCATGTTTCTAACTTGTCTTTTTCCTAAGGGGGAAAAGTTCATGCAAATAACCTGGACAATGCTCTTAAAAAATTGGAACTTGAGCTCACGGAAAAGGAACTTGCAAAGCTGTCAAGAAATCTACAAGTTGATGGTGAACACTGCAGATGTCCTCAGGCCATCTTTTTATTTTTCCTTTATATCTGATTGTTTGAAAATAGATTTAATTGACAGATACATGTTAGAAAGGTTGGAGGAGAGCCCAATTTTATTTTTTTATTTAAGTTTTTAATTTTAATTCCAATATAGTTAACATACAAAATTATATTATTTCAGGTGTACAATATATCAACAGTTGTATCAATAATTCTATATATAACTCAGCACTCATGGTGAGAAAAATACTTTTCAGTCCTCATCACCTGTTTCACACACCTGCCCACCTCCCCTCTGGTAACCACCAGTTTGTTCTTTATAGTTGAGATTCTACTTCTTGGGTCGTCTGTCTCTCTCCCCTTTTTTTTCGTTGTTCATTCATTTTGTTTCTTAAATTTCACATTTGAATGAAATCATGGAGTATTTGTCTTTTGCATTTCTCTTAGCATTATACTTTCTAGCTCCATCCATGTTGTTGCAAATGGCAAGATTCCATTCTTTTATAAAAAAATTTTATAGTTTATTTTTGAGACAGAGAGACAGAACATGAGTGGGTTAGAGGCAGAGAGACGGAGAGGAGACACAGAATCTGAAGCAGGCTCCAGGCTCTGAGCTGTCAGCACAGAGCCCGACACGGGGCTAGAACCCGTGAACCGAACCATGAAATCATGACCTGAGCCAAAGTCAGACGCTTAACCGACTGAGCCACCCAGGTGCCTCTCTTTTTTATGGCTGAATAGTATCCCATTATATATACACATATACATATACATACATATATATGTATATATATATATGCTACATCTTTATCCATTCAGCTATCAATGGATACTTGAAGGAGAGCCCAATTTTAAAGTCAGAATCAATCTTGGATCTTCATTATAATTAATCTAAAACAACATCACCTTTCCCTTTGTATACAAAGAATCATAGAGGATGCTGTCAGGACTCCAATAGTCTAATAACAAGAAATCAAATAATAGGGATATGAAAATCTATTTAGAGAGAATTCAACAGGCCATTTTTCTCTCTATCCTTCTGTCTTCTGAAATCTTCACTTGAAAACGCATTCAAAGATTTTTTATCATAGTGCATGAGACCTTTAAGCTTTGTCTGCCTGTGTGGACATATCTTCTCTCATTTTTCTCCTGTTCAAGCCATGTTGAACTACTTGTAGTTTGACACACATAGCATGATGTCCCTGGACTTTTTTCTCAACTTCTCCTCCATGTGAAGACTCTTCCATCCTTCCATATTTCATAGCAACTTTTCTGATACATTAATGTAGTTCATGCATATCTCCTGCAGAAAGCAATCTTAGAACATACCAAGCTAGATTAGTGGTGCCTTCCTCAGCTGTTTGTTGGTACATGAAGTAAAGTTAATAGAATACCTGGCCAACTCCAATAGTATATTCAGCTGTGGCTTTTAATGGTATCCAAAATACTAGGAAGAGCAGACTTTTCCTGACCCAGTTTCTACAAGAGACCTTTGTATTAATGGAGATCATCTTAACTCTCTGAGATCCAGGGATTTTCTAAATGATCTCAAGTAAAATGAAGATGTGGAGAATTTTTAATGAAATTGTTTCCATAAAATATATGTCTTAAATTTGTGTCCTGAGCTTCTGACACTATTTTCATTGTGCTTTTTCTTGTAGCTAATGGGATGGTTGGTCTGAAAGAGGTGATGAATGAAGTAAAAGCTACTACAGGTAAGTGAAAAATTATGAATCTAAAACATTTAGTATTTATAGTAATTATATTTCATAATAATCCTTCAATTGCTCTCTTAGATATGGAATTTGCTTCCTTATTCATTAAATTACTAGCAACTCATTTATTTTCTTTTTTTTTTACAGTTTATTGTCAAGTTGGTTTCCATATGACACCCAGTGCTCATCCCCACAAGTGCCCTCCTCCATGCCCATCCACCCTCCCCCCCAACACCCATCAGTCCTCAGTTTATTCTCAGCATTCAAGAGTCTCTCATGGTTTGCCTCTCTCCCTTTCCCCCACCATTTCCGCCCTTCTTCTCCCCCTTGTTCCTCCGTCAAGTTCCTCCTAATCCTCCTATACGTGCAAACATATGATATTTGTCCTTCTCTGCCTGACTTATTTCGCTCAGCATAACACCCTCAAGGTCCATCCATGTTGCTACACATGGCCAGATTTCATTGTTTCTCATTGCCATGTAGTATTCCATGGTATAGATAAACCACATCTTCTTGATCCATTCATCTGTTGATGGACACTTAGGCTCTTTCCATGTTTTAGCTATTGTGGAGAGTGCTGCTATGAACATTGGGGTACATGTGCTCCTATGCCTCAGCATTTCTGTATCCCTTGGGTAAATTCCTAGCAGTGCTATTGCTGGGTCATAAGGGAGTTCTATTGTTAGTTTCCTGAGGAACCTCCACACTGTTTTCCAGAGGGGCTGTACCAGTTTACATTCCCACCAACAGTGTAGGAGGGTGCCCGTTTCTCCACATCCTCGCCAGCATCTAGAGTTCTCTGATTTGCTCATTTTAGCCACTCTGACTGGCGTGAGGTGGTATCTCAGTGTGGTTTTGATTTGTATTTCCCTGATGAGGAGGGATGCTGAGCATCGTTTCATGTGTCTGTTGGCCATCTGGATGTCCTCTTTGGAGAAGTGTCTGTTCATGTCTTCTGCCCATTTCTTCACTGGGTTGTTTGTTTTTCGGGCGTGTAGTTTGGTGAGTTCCTTATAGATTCTGGATATTAACCCTTTATCTGATATGTCATTTGCAACTATCTTTTCCCATTCCGTTGGTTGCCTATTAATTTTCTGGGTTGTTTCCTTGGCTGTGCAGAAGCTTTTAATCTTGATGAGGTCCCAACAGTTTATTTTTGCTCTTGATTCCCTTGCTTTTGGGGATGTGTCAAGTAAGAAGTTGCTGCGGTGGAGGTCAAGGAGGTTGTTTCCTGCTTTCTCCTCTAGGGTGTTGATAGTTTCCTGTCTCACGTTCAGGTCCTTTATCCATTTTGAGTTGATTTTTGTGCATGGTGTGAGAAAATGATCTAGTTTCATTCTTCTGCATGTTGCTGTCCAGTTCTCCCAACACCATCTGTTAAAAAGGCTGTCTTTTTTCCATTGGATATTCTTTCCTGCTTTGTCAAAGATCAGTTGGCTGTATACTTTTGGGTCCACTTCTGAGTTCTCAATTCTGTTCCATTGGTCTATGTGTCTGTTTTTGTGCCAATACCATACTGTCTTGAGGATGACAGCTTTGTAGTAGAGGCTGAAGTCTGGGATGGTGATACCTCCCGTTTTGGTTTTATTTTTCAGTATTACTTTGGCTATTCGGGGTCTTTTGTGGTTCCATACAAATTTTTGGATAGTTTGTTCTAGTTTTGAGAAGTATGCTGGTGCAATTTTGATTGGAATTGCATTGAATGTGTAGAGTGCTTTAGGTAGTAATGACATCTTAACTATATTTATTCTTCCTATCCATGAGCATGGAATGTTTTTCCATTTCTTTGTGTCTTCTTCAATTTCCTTCATAAGTTTTCTATAGTTTTCATCATACAGATCTCTTGTATCCTTGGTTAGGTTTATTCCGAGGTATTTTATGGTTTTTTGTGCAATTGTGAATGGGATCAGTTTCTTGATTTCTCTTTCTGTTGCTTCATTATTGGTGTATAAAAATGCAACCGATTTCTGTACGTTGATTTTGTACCCTGCAACTTGGCTGAATTCTTGGATCAGTTCTAGTAGGCTTCTGGTGGAGTCTGTCGGGTTTTCTATGTAGAGTATCATGTCATCTGCGAAGAGTGAAAGTTTGACTTCCTCTTTGCCAATTCTGATGCCTTTGATTTCCTTTTGTTGTCTGATGGCTGATGCTAGGACTTCCAGCACTATGTTAAACAACAGTGGTGAGAGTGGACATCCCTGTCGTGTTCCTGATCTCAGGGGGAAAGCTCTCAGTTTTTCCCCGTTGAGGATGATGTTAGCTGAAGGCTTCTCATAGATGGCTTTGATGATGTTTAAGTAGGTTCCTTCTATCCCAACTTTCTCGAGAGTCTTTATTAAGAAGGGATGCTGTATTTTGTCAAATGCTTTTTCTGCATCTATTGACAGGATCATATGGTTTTTATCTTTTCTTTTATTGATATGATGGATCACATTGATTGATTTGCGAATGTTGAACCAGCCCTGTAACCCAGGAATGAATCCCACTTGATCTTGGTGGATGATTCTTTTGATATGCTGCTGGATTCGATTTGCAAGGATCTTGTTGAGAATTTTTGCATCCGTATTCATCAAGGATATTGGCCTATAGTTCTCTTTTTTTGCTGGATCTCTGTCTGGCTTGGGAATCAGAGTGATGCTGGCTTCATAAAATGAGTCCGGGAGTTTTCCTTCGACTTCTATTTTTTGGAATAGCTTGAGAAGAATTGGGATTAATTCTGTTTTAAATGTCTGGTAGAATTCCCCAGGGAAACCATCAGGTCCAGGGCTCTTATTTGTTGGGAGATTTTTGATCACTGATTCGATTTCTTCACTCGTTATGGGTCTGTTCAGGTTTTCTATTTCTTCCCGTGTGAATTTTGGTAGTGAGTGTGTGTTTAGGAATTTGTCCATTTCTTCTAAGTTGTCCAATTTGTTGGCATATAATTTTTCATAGTATTCCCTGATAATTGCTTGTATTTCTGAGGGGTTGGTTGTAATAAGTCCATTTTCATTCATAATTTTGTCTATTTGGGTGCTCTCTCTTTTCTTTTTGATAAGCCTGGCTAGAGGTTTGTCAATTTTGTTTACTTTTTCAAAAAACCAACTCTTGGTTTCATTGATCTGTTCAATTGTTTCTTTGGTCTCTATGTTGTTTATTTCTGCTCTAATTTTTACTATTTCTCTTCTTCTACTGGGTTTAGGGCGTTCTTGTTGCTCTGCCTCTAGCTCCTTTAGGTGAGCTGTTAGATTTTGGACTTGTGCTTTTTCTAATCTCTTGAAATAGGCCTGGAGAGCAATGTACTTTCCTCTTAGGACTGCCTTGGCCGCATCCCATAGATTTTGAATTGTTGTGTTTTCATTTTCATTTGTTTCCATATATTTTTTAATTTCCTCTCTAATTGCCTGATTGGCCCATTCATTCTTTAGAAGGGTGTTCTTTAACCTCCATGTTTTTGGCGGTTTTCCAGACTTCTTCCTGTAATTGATTTCAAGTTTCAAAGCATTGTGATCTGACAGTGTGCATGGTATGATCTCTATTCTTTTATATTTATTGAGGGCTGCTTTATGTCCCAGTATGTGATCTATCTTGGAGAATGTGCCATGCGCACTTGAGAAGAAAGTAAATTCCCTGGCCTCAGGATGTAAAGTTCTAAATATATCCGTCAGATCCATCTGGTCCAATGTGTCTTTCAAGTCCATTATTTCTTTAGTGATTTTCTGTCTGGTTGACCTATCCATTGCTGTAAGCGGAGTATTAAAGTCCCCTGCTATTAGCACATTCTTATCTATAAGCTTGTTTCTGTTTGTGATTAATTGTTTTAGATATTTAGGTGCTCCCATATTCGGTGCGTAGACATTTATGATTGTTAGTTCTTCCTGATGGATGGACCCTGTAATTATTATGTAGTGCCCTTCTTCATCTCTTGTGATTGTCTTTAATTTAAAGTCCAGTTTGTCTGATATAAGTATCGCTACTCCGGCTTTCTTTTGATTTCCTGTAGCATGATATATATTTCTCCATCCCCTTACTTTTAATCTGAAGGTATCTTCCCGTCTAAAATGAGTTTCTTGTAGACAGCATATAGATGGATTTTGTTTTTTAATCCATTCTGCTACCCTATGTCTTTTGATTGGAGCATTCAGCCCATTTACATTCAGTGTTATTATTGAAATATGTGGGTTTAGAGTCTTTGTATCTTTTGTAGGGTTCATGTTTGTGGTGGTGTCTCTGGTATCTTTGTTCCTTGCAACCTTTCCTTCAGAGCATCCCCCTCAGGATTTCTTGTAGGGCTGGCTTCGTGGTGACAAATTCTTTCAATTTCTGTTTATTTGGAAAGGTTTTTATCTCTCCTTCTATTTTGAATGACAGGCTTGCTGGATAGAGGATTCTTGGCTGCATATTTTTACTGTTCATCACATTGAAGATCTCCTGCCATTCCTTTCTGGCCTGCCAAGTTTCAGTAGATAGGTCTGTCACCACTCTGATAGGTTTCCCTTTGTATGTTAGGGCCCTTTTCTCTCTAGCTGCTTTCAAAATTCTCTCTTTGTCCTTGTATTTTACCATTTTTACTATGATAAGCCGTGCTGAAGATCGATTCAAATTACGTCTGAGGGGAGTCCTTTGAGCCTCTTGTTTTTAAACGTTTACTTCCTTCCTCAAGTTGGGGAAGTTCTCTGCTATAATTTGTTCCAGGACTCCTTCAGCACCTTTCCCTCTCTCTTCCTCTTCTGGGATTCCTATGATACGGATATTGTTGCATTTGACTGTATCGCTGAGCTCTCGAACTCTTCTTTCTTGTTCCTGGATCATTTTGTTCTTTTTTTCTCAGTTTCCTCTTTTTCTATAATGGTGTCTTCTAAGTCACTTATTCTCCTTTCTGCCTCTTCAATCCGTGCATTGGAGGCCTCTAATTTATTATGTATCTCATTTGTCGCATTTTTTAATTCATCATGCCTATTCTTATTCTCCATGTTGTCTGTAGCCATAGTTTCTTTGATGTCCCCTATGCTTTTTTCAAGCCCAGCTATTAATTTTATGATTATTATTCTAAAATCTTGTTCAGTTATGCTGCTTATATCTGTTTTGAGCAGTTCATTAGCTGTCAGTTCTTCTTGGAATTTCTTTGGAGGAAAGCTCTTTCATTTCGACATTTTAATCAGCTTTCTGGCTTTTGTTAGTTTTAAAGACTTGTCATGCTCTCTGCATCTGTGAGCACTGCTGTATCCAGAGAGAAGGCTCTTTGACTGTCCAGGGCCTATCCTTTCAGAGAGGTTTTTTTTTTTTTTTTTGAATGGTATCTCTTGGTCTCTCTTGTTGAGACCTTGGTTATTTTATTTTCCTACTGGTAGTGATATTTCGGACTCTCCACCATGTGTGCTTTGGCTTGTTTCTTGAGGTAGCCCTGGAGAAGAAAAGAGACAGACAAACACACAGGGAGCAGAGGCACACAAATGCACAGACAAATCCAACTAACCTGCAAACCGAAAGGGAAAATGCAAAAGTTAAGAGAAAAGACAGAGGAGGGAAGGCAAATAATAGAAAATAAAAAAATACATAAAAAGGTCAAAAAGAAGAAAAGGAAAGGAAAAAAGAAAATAACTGGTGGACAAAGAATGGTTTAAAGCATACAACCGGATTTCCCAGCTACAATTAAATAGCCGGGTGTATGCAGTGCTGGTTGAAGAGCATAGAGAAAGAGAGAGCAGACAGGGCGGGGATGAGGCAAAATTGGAAATAGAATGAACAGGCAGAAGGGATAAGAAGCTTTTTTCAAAGAGCTAAAGGGTGGAATATGGTTGGAGAGGTGAGAGAAGGACGCTGGTGTTATCCAGAGAAACTATATAGTCTAATTACTCCTGAGACACAGAGATGAAAAGGTCAGTAGGTGTAGAATTTACATCTACAGGATGGACTAAATGTGACTAAGCAAGCCGGTGACCAGAGTTAGTCAGGTTAGTGTTCTGGGGGAAAAAGAGAAAAAGGAAAAAAAAAGGAGCGGGGGGAGGGCAGCTCTCAAGCAGGGATGGGCGTGGTGTGATCCAATGCGTCAGGAGGGAGTTCTGCCTTGGAGGTTGGGGGAGAAGAGTGGCGGCGCTCCAGTCCCTTCTTGAACCAAGCGTTGCACCTCGCTGTTTTGGGTGTGTAAACTCCCCGGGCCGGGGGCGCAGCCTAAGTGGATTGCGCTCTTTAACCCAGGCCAGGCTTAGTTTCCAAATCCCAGTCTGTGCAACCCACTGAAATTGCTATAGACACAACCTCACAGGTGATCCCCTCAGGGCAATTCCAAGCCTCTTGCGTAGCCCTGGGGGTGGAGCTAGAATCGCTGCTACCTTCTTCTCCGGGTTGGGTTGGCGAGTATGGGCAGGGGTCTGCGTGCGTGGCTGGCCGGGCTGGTTAGAAGGCTTTCTCAGTGGATTCTGCTTCCTTTTTCTCCCAATCTCTTGGGTTCTGTAAGGTTTCCTATGGCTTCAGATCTTTTCCATGCGAGATATGGGGGCGAGTGTAATGTACGGAACTCCCTACTTCTCCACCATCTTGCCCGTTCCCATTTATTTTCTGGTATATTTTTTATTTGTATATTTTGCTCTTCTCTATTCTAGAATGGCAAAACTCTGTGTTAGTAAAATAATATATGAAGTAAAATTTTGGTGAAGACTACAGACAACTTACAAAAATGAGACTAACAGATCTTACCTTATTTGATACAATTATTTGAATGAGTAATTTATAATATTCCAGTTGAAAAGCAGATACATAATGTAAATCTCACAAGGCTCAGAGTTGCCTTGCCATTGTCATTATGATTGTGACTTCTTTTATTAGCACTTGGAGATCAAATTCTTTTTCTCAGAAGTCATCGTCAGTATACTTGGAGAGCACTCATTGGTCTTTACTCTTTACTCTCTACTGATTCAAGCTACAGAGCCATAGATTCATTTTCCCTATTTGGAATCATTAAATGATCCTTTAAATTCATATATATAATTATGTCTATTTTTTTAAGGTGGGGAGGTTGATGTCAATGATGTGAAAACTATTCTGAAAAACATGGGAATAGAGTTCACAGATAAGGAACGTTTGAAGCTGCTGAAAAATCTGTCTTTCAACGGTAGGCATTTATATACTTAGAGGGTTCTTTTAAGCTTAATTTTTTTTTAAATTCCAGTTAGTTAACGTACAGTGTAATACAATTTCAGGTGTACAATGTAGTGATTCAACACTTCCACACGTTACCCTGTGTTCATCACAAGTGCCCCCCCTTCATCCCCATCACCGGTTTCACCCATCCCCCACTCACTTCCCCTCTGGTAACCATCATTTTATTCCCTATAGTTAAAAGTCTGTTTCTTGGTTTGCCTCTCTTTTTTTCTTCCCTCTGTTTGGTCTCCTTTTAAGCTTTTTTTTTAAAACTCAAACTATCCCCATTTGCTAAGATGCAACAATAAACAAACATACACATAAATGCCAAATAAAATAATTTAAACAAACAAACAAAATAATTTAAATGTTCACTTACTCCTGAGGGAAATTTATGTCTATGCAGTTTAACTTTCAGATTTGGAATAATCATCCCCATGATGTTAACTAATGCCGTTGAGGGGACTACATTTCTGAGGCTATCCTTACCTTTTAGATACCCGTAGGCAATTGTGGGAAGCAAACAAGGGAAAGAAATGGTGTTAGACTGGAAGGGGATAAAAGATGAGAGGTGATGTTTTCCAAAAAAGCTGTGCATGTTATAGAGTGCCTTGTATGCTAAATTTTAGATAGATTTACCATATTATAAATTTTCCCTAATTTTCTCTCATACTTATTTTAATGGGGGAAATTTCTAGGGCAAATCATGAAAATCTCAGTTTTACTGAAATAATTTTAGTGAATAGCCATATCATTTCTCTATGACCTCAACTGTGTTCTTTTTTATAGATGATAACAAGGTCTTTAAGAACAGGTTGCTAGATGGTGTGAAGTCCCTTAAAGGTAAGTAAGAAACATAATGAGAATACAAATGAATATGAGATCTTCATTTTATACTGTTTCCAAGATATGAATTTGAATGCTGTCATCTGTCTTATGTACTGATTGCAAATGTATGCTTTTTTGGACCTCAGTCTTTATTTTAGCAGATGAATCTGATGTTCTATCTTGGAAGTAAAGCACCACACTTTCTTGCCATTTTCCAAATTTTCAGGAAGAGAAGTATCAAATTTCATGTTTGCATGCAAAAAATATAGAAATAATTAGCAGTGATTCAGGGAAGTTAATAAATAGAAAAAACTAAATTGGAAGTTCATTCATCAAAAGTCAACCTACTATTGTTTAGAACTAAAGAATGTTTGTCTCCAGTACCAGGATTCCCTGAGCATTCATTGAACACCATTTTCAACCAGATTTTTTAAAATTCATTAAGAAAATTGAGGCTAGCAATAGTGACAGCCCTCAGCTTTTCATCCCCAATCTTTACCTATACAGGTATCTTTAATCACACTCATGTTAGTATAAAGGATGAGTGAGGAGTCCCTCTTCTTCCTCAAGGCTTACTGGGATGCCCTTGACTCCACCCTCTCCCGTATCTTTAAGACCTTGCTCTGGGGCACCTGGGTGGCTTAGTTGGTTAAGCGTCCGACTTTCGCTTAGGTCATGATCTCACGGTTCGTGGGTTCGAGCCCCACGTCGGGCTCTGTGCTTACTGCCAGCTCAGAGCCTGGAGCCTGTTTCAGTCTGTGACTCCCTCTCTCTCTGACCCTCCCCTGCTCACGCTGTCTTTCTCTCTCTCTCTCCTATAAATAAATAAAAACATTAAAAAAAAAAAAAGACCTTGCTCCATTGGTCATTTTCAATCTCTTCAGCCCATTTACATGCTCAACATATCCCATCCTATAAAATAAGCAAACTGAAACTCTCCACACCTCTGTTGGCCACAATTCAATCTCTTTCTTCCCTTTTTCATCCATTTCTTGAGAGACTTTTCTGTACTCTGAGCCCATATTTCTGTACCTCGCTCTATTTCTCAAACTAATTTCAGTATTAAATGCCATTTAATACCTTGTGTTTCTGTACGCTGGTCCCCATGACAAGTCTCAAGGGAAATAGCTATAATTCTAACTTTGTAATTGACTGCTTAAAATATTTGGTCTAGGGGAACCTGGGTGGCTCAGTCGTCGGGTGTCTGACTTTGGCTCAGGTCATGATCTCACTGTTTGTGAGTTCTAGTCCCACATAGGGCTCTGGGGTGATAGGTTGGGGCCTGGAGCCTGCTTCGGATTCTGTATCTCCCTCTCTCTGCCCTTCCCTCACTCAGGCTCTTTCTCTCAAAAATAAATAAACATTAAAAAAAACTTTTTTTAATTTGGTCTATGTGCTAAAATTGTTGAATTTTAATTTATTTTTTTCACTTTAGAACAAACATTTTCTGTTTGGTCTGAAGCAGATTTTGTGAATAATGATCTACCGCTTAAGAAATTCATAATGGGATATGTGTATCAAAATAGTGTAAGAACTTCTCTTTTGGAGTCATTTAATATTCTTTATGAACTGTCACTTTTCTTAGCTGGGGAGGTTGATATGAACAACCTGGACACCGTTCTGAACAACCTGGGGATCAAGCTTGCAGATACGGAACTTAAAGATCTGCCTGAAAACATGCATGTTGGTGGTAAGCATGTTATCATATACACTAGTTAACCCTGTAGAGAGTTTAGTTACAAGAACCTTTGGGGGGAAAATGCCCTTTTCCATAAGGAGAAGGGAAGGTCCAAGAGCAGTGTGAGATACCATATCAATGACTAAAACACTGAGAATGTCATTTGAGTTCATGAGTATCCAGTTAACAAAGTCAAAATTCAACCACTTTTTATATGTGTGATATGTATGACTTTTATGCTCTCTGTAAGTGTCATGTTTTAGTAGTTGAGTCTTTCCAGTTTCGAACACAAGAATGCAGACTCTAGACACGTTCACTTCTGAGTAACTTCCTCTTACTAACACAAATAAATGTGAGATATGATAGGCCAAACTGCATCATTGCAATTGTGTGGCTTTCATGTTTAGAATTTTCTTCTTATTCATGCTTGTCTTAGAGTAAAAATTGAGTAGAATAATAATCTAAAAAGTGTGTTTGGAAATATTTGTTAAATAAATATTAGCAGTTAAGATGGGGCCTGACACATAGTAAATGCAACTATTATTGTTCTTCCTATGTTTTCCCACCAACTTTTATACCTATAATATAATATTTGAAATCTGTATAATATATAATGTAATGTACTGTGATTTTATCTTCTTTTATAGTTGATGAGAAAATTCCATTAGAAACACTGATGGAAAACATCACAGATTTTAGAGGTGACTGGAAAGTTACTATAAAATTAGGGTTTCAGCTATCTACATTAAATTTTTTTCCCTGATATTTCCTAGTATTCCATCATTGTCTTGTAAATTCTGGTATTTCTCTATATTTATTGATAAATTTGTGCCTCTAGTGTTTCATGTATTGATATAAAATCATCTGTTTTTGCAATGAAATTACCATACTGTTTCTTGCTTTCAAATTCTATAATCTCTGTCGTTTATGCCAATAATATAATCCACTTCACCAGTGTTTAATAACCACAGTGTAGAATGCCATGGCAAATTAGAGAGTGAAGCCTAAAATTGATGGAGGTAATGAATTCATTGTATTTATCATATAATTCTTATTTTTCAAATTAAAATACTTTTTCATATAAGCATCTATTTTTTAATTAATAGATCAAATTTTATCCTGAAAGTAGTCTGTCCCTATTTTAGAAGAAACTCTCTTGTTCATTTTAAGAAAATAAACTTGACCTAACATCTACATTGATTCTGTAGTTGAAAATACTTCTTGTTTTTGTTTTTTTTTAACTTTAGTCTTCAGTCTGAATACAAGGAGATGGTATTAATTATGCTAAAATAACTTTTTTCATTAGAAATAATCACTATTATCTGGGGAGCACCTGGGTGGTCCAGTCAGTTAAGCGTCCGACTTTGGCTCAGGTCATGATCTCACAGCTTGTGAGTTAGAGTCAGCCCCATGTCAGGCTCTGTGCTGACAACTCAGAGCCTGGACCTGTTTCAGATTCTGTGTCTCCCTTTCTCACTGCCTGCATTTCTCTCTCTCTCTCTAAAAAAATAATAAAACATTTTTTAAAATTTTTAAAGAAATAATTACTGCTATCTGAAATGAAGATGTATACCAAATTTCCTCTTTTCAAAGGTGAGAAGATTGAGTCTAGTGATCTAAAAAATGTTCTGGAAAATCTTGGAATAGAGCTCAGAGATGAGGAGCTAGAGAAGCTGCTGAACATACTGCCAGTTGATGGTGAGTCATGCCAGCGTTCAAGCCCCTTAAGTTTGTTTTGTTATGTAGACTTGTCCACAAGCATAGACTACAGGAATACAATTCTGACTCCATTGACTTTCTGTTTGGGTCTTTAAGTGGAAAAGTCTATTTGGGATTTCAGCCTTGTTGAAAGGTAATGATAACAGAGGCATGAAATATATTTTATCTTTTGTCTCTTTTTTTTTAATAATATGTGGTCATTAAAGTTAATAGTTTTCCTAAAAATTTTTTTTAATTTTAATATTATACATCTCTTTTTTAAAAATGTTGTTTTTCTATCTCTTTCCTAAGATGGGAAGGTTAAAAAGAATAACCTCCATACTAGTTTGGGAAATATGGGAATGGGGCTCACGGAAGAGGAACTTGTTGAATTGTCAGAACACCTACAAGTTGATGGTGAGTACCAAAGATAGCATTTGGGATTTTTTAATTTTTACCTTCTATTTAAAGGAGTATCACTTAAAATTATGATGTGAGTCAAATTTAGCTGGACTTTATTATAGAAACAATGTTTTCCGAGCTCATGTCATTGATTACATGTCTCCTTTGGACTTCTGTAGCAAATGGGAATGTTGATCTGCATAATGTGATGGAAGGAATCAAAGCTATTACAGGTGAGCACAAAGTCACTATAAAGCTAAATTCCTATTAGAACAGTAACTGTATTTTACCATTAATCTTAAGTGCCATGTTGATTCTGTTACCGTACACCTTATTGTAAATACTTGTCCAGAGTTGGACTTTGTGGTGTTCATGTTTTAGTAACAAAATTGTAGCTTCATGTCTTGGTAGGAAGACCCTTACTCACTAAAAAAAAATAATAATAATTTTAAAATATCTGTTTTAGAGTCACTGAGTTTTCCTCACAGGCCTTTCTTTTTCTGTTTAAGGGAAGGTTGACATCAAAAACCTGGAAACCGTTCTAAGCAACATGGGAATCAAGCCCCCAGACCAGGAACTTGAGGATCTGAAAGAAAACCTACCAATCAGTGGTGAGCATGTGAGATACCATTGGATTTTGAGCTCTATGTGTTATGTACCATTAGCAATGAAAGGAATGAAACGAGGGAACTTTTTATGCAGAAGATGTCAAGATTGGAGACGGGACAAGAATACTGACAAAGAAGTTGAGAATCTAGTATTTGGACACAGGTGGCATGGCCACTGGAAGAGTCTGTGAAGTTCTGAGGACAAGAAAGTTTGCCTTTACCAGATGGCCACTTTTGAATCTCATCTTTTCGTTATCAAATTCAAGAGTTGATATTTTATGAACTAGAAAGTCAAATTTACATTTTTGAAAGAAGTATAAATTTAAATCTTTTCTTCTACTCTATACTCCTAGCATATTCTGAGTAAATATTATTGAGTGGCTATTTAAAATGCTTAACAAAATGGCCAGTACACTTAAGTGCTGTTATAATCTAAAGGGTAGGACAGTGTTCTTCTGCTATTTTATATCATTTTATGAGCTTCAAGTTATGGGGGGTTTTTTGGTTACAGTTTATAATAAAGTTGCTCTGAAAACTTTGAAGGATAAAGTGAAAGCTTTTACGGGTAAGAATTTGTTATAAATGATTTGCAACAAATTGCGACTTACCCTATAAATTTGAATAGTTTTTTCTTGAATTTCTATTAGTGGCTTACAAATTCACAAACTTTCTTTTTTTAAAAAAATTTGTTTTCAATGTTTTATTTATTTCTGAGGGGGAGAGAGAGAGAGAGAGAGAGAGAGAGAGAGCATGCGTGCACAGAGGATGGTCAGAGAGAGAAGGAGATACAGAATCTGAAGCAGGCTCCAGGCTCTGAGCTAGCTGTCAGCACAGAGCCCAACGCGGGGCTTGAACCCACGAACCACGAGATCATGACCTGAGCGGAAGTTGAATGTTTAACTGACTGAGCCACCCAGGTGCCCCGACAAATTCACAGGCTTTCAGTATTCGTTTTGATAAATATTTACATCTACTGATCAACATCTTAATCTAACATTATCTGGGTTTATAAGTAAAACAAAAGGACTATTTCTTCATCGTAAATCATATATTCTTTGATGCTTTTTTTCAGTAAGAGTGACTCTTATTTATAGGCCCAAAAAGTAGATGATCAAAGCAAAAGCAGGGTGGAGCATTAGAAATAAAAGTCGATTGCCAACAGCTAATCATATAGTTTTAACTAAATAAAGTAAAATATGTCATACTTTGTTAATTGTGTATTGTATTATACTAACCATCTCTTAACCTTATTTCTGAATAATTAGATGACCAGATTTGCTTCTGTACTATGTGATGTTATTCCCAGTGTTAGAGATACATCTCATTTACTATAATTGAGGGACATACTCTATTTTTATTTCCCTTTGACTCTTTTTATTAGAAAATCTTTGACTTAATCTTTCCTTTTCATTCTGGTGTCAGAGAAAGGACTAGAGCGACGAAAGTATATGTTTAGATAATTTTAAATAATCAAATTGTCCCTTAATAATTTAACCTATAACTATTCTGTCTTTTCAAAGGAGAAAAGGTTGATTCTAGTGACTTAAAAAATATCCTAAAAGACATAGGGATTGAGGTCACAGATAAGGAGCACAGGCAACTGCTGAAAACACTGCCTGATGGTAAACAAATGCCACATAAATGCCACCAACCTTCCAGGGAACTTGATTTTATGGGTCAATGTGAGCCATTCTCAATCTTAATAGTATAATTTTGTCTTTAAAATGCCATAAATTAATAGAAAGGTATTTCTGACTTGAAAAGAAATTCTGTTATTACCTCTTCGAACACAATTTGAAATTCGTCACTACATTGCCATTTAGTTGTCTAAGTGACTAATACTGTCCCCTCAGATTGGTATTAGTTTTGCAATAATAGCAATGAAAAATAATGAAGGAGAAAAAGGACATCAGAAGAATAAAAAGGAAGACATATTTTAATGTATTTTTTAGATTTGCACCATGGGAGAGTTTAATAAATGCTTCTAATTCCAAAGAATGGCCAAGTTTGTCACTGTGGAAAACATCTATCCATTTATGTATTTAGAGCACATGAACAGAGCAGGGGCAGAGAGAGAGAGAGAGAGAGAGAGAGAATCTCAAGCAGGCTCCCCACTCATCACAGAGACCAAAATGGGGTTCAGTCTCACGACTGTGAGATCCTGACCTGAACCCAAATCAAGAGTCAGATCCTTAACTGACTGAGCCACTCAGGCACCGCAGACATTTATATTTTTAAATGTCCATATTGTATAACTATAAAATAGATGAATTTTTTAAGCAAATCATTGAAATGTATCCTTCTCCAATCATATAATTTTTAACGTTCTGGTGAATCTTCATATCAATTTCCTAGAGATCTAAATTGTACTTTTTCTTACAGCCCATGGAAAGGTGTTCCAAAAGAGGTTGCTGAAGGATGTGATGTATAGTAAAAGTGAGTAAGAACCACAAATACGAGGCATATGAAATATCCTTAAGCATTAAATTTGTATCACTAGAATGATACCTTATTTTGCTTCTTGTACCACATCTGTGTTTCTCCTGGTAATAACCCTTACTTTGTCTTAGACGAAAAGTTCTCTACTGCATTGCGTTTTTGAAGCTTTCTCTGAAGAAACAATTATATGAACAGAAATAAAGATGGAAGGAAAGAAAGGAAGGAGGGAAGGAACCTAGGAAGGAAGGGAGGGGGACAAGGGAGGAAGGTGGGAAGGAGAAAGGAAGGATTGGCATTTATTCCAAAATGTGAGCAGGAACAGAGAAACCAGTCTCAGAGCAAGAGTTGGGAAATGAATAGTCTCTACTTCTGTGTGCCGATGACTGGTTATCACTCTCCAGCTACAGTTGCCCAGCCCTGCCCCATCTTTTTCCTGGGCCTGTATGTTTATCATTTGAGGAAACAAATTCTAACTCTGCTTTTAATTTTTTTTTTAATTTTTAATGTTTATTTTTAAGAGAGAGAGACAGACAGACAGACAGAGTGCAAGTGGGGGAGAAGCAGAGAGACAGAGAGGGAGAGACACAGAGACCGAAAGCAGACTCCAGGCTCTGACCTGTCAGCACAGAGCCCAACCCAGGGCTCGAATTCACAGACCGTGAGACCATGACCTGAGCCAAAGTCAGACACTTAACCCACTGAGCCACCCAGGCGCCCCTGCTTTTAACTCTTGAAAGAGTTGTTTACAAGTTACAACACTTTGTGAAGAGTGGTACAAGTCTATTGTAGTTTTGGTCTTTGCTTGAAAATTTTAGCATTTATACTATATGAAGTCATTCTCTTTTAGCAGTATATATTCATTAACAATAACAATTATTACTATCTCAAAGAGATATTTTCACCCCCATGTTCATTGCAGCATTGTCTACAGTACCCAAGACACAGACACAGTGTGTCTCTTGACAGATAAATTAATAAAGACAATAGAATATATTAGAGATACAGAGATATGTACACACATACATACATAATAGAATATTATTTGACCACAGAAAAGGAAAGCCTGCCATTTACAACATGGATGTAACTTGAGGGCATTATGCTAAGTGGAATAAGTCAGAAAAAAACAAATACTATATTATATCCCTGTAGGTGGAATCTTAAAAACCAAACTCATAAAAACAGAGACATGATTGGTAGCTGCCAGAGGCAGGGAGATGGGGAGAGAGGAATGGGTGAAGGTAGTCAAAAGGATAAAAACTTCCAGCTATAAGAGGAGTAAGTTCTAGAGATATAATGTACAATACTTTGACTATAATTAACAACACTGTATCATATTTTTGGAAATTGCTAGAAGAGTAAATCTTAAAAGTTCTCACCATACACACAACCAAAAATGTATGTGAGATGATGGATGTATTAACTTATTATGGTAATCATTTTTCAGTGTACATATATATATATATATATATATAGTTCTTTGCTTGAAAAAAAAATATATATATAATACACCTTAAACTTACTCAATGCCATATGTCAATTATTCAATAAAGCTGGGGGAAAGAGTGAAAACATTAATGTCTGTTAGTTGAAGATAATAATATGTGTTTATGAATTTTTCTAAACATTTTATAATTGTTCCATTTATTCCTTTCCCTTTCATGTTTTCAAGGAGGGAAGGTTGATGTAAATAACCTGGATCCTGTCTTAGAAGCCATGGGGGTGAAGCTTACAGAAAAGGAACTCGATCTGTTAAAGCACCTTCTGAGTGGTGAGCATTATGGAAAACACTGTGATTTTAAACAGATGTTGTGCTTGAAAAATTAATTATGACTGTTTCGAAGGTTTAAATTATTTGTTGCCTGAAGATATTTGAATAGCTTTCAGAAGAATTCGGCAGGGGGAAATGGCTGTTAATTTTTTT